TTTGGCAGCACACAAAAGTGCCGCGGCACAGTGGTTGAGAATCAATGATTTATGCATTAACATAGGAATGATAATTTTGTTGAAACGTTTTGTATCATCTGTGTTTCACTGAAGTAGATACAGTACCTCTAAGTGTATTAAAATGAGTCTTCGTATGTCGTAATTCAAGTTTCGATGTTCAAATTTTCTTAACACAATATATAATATCCCACTTTTAAAGAAGTAAGTGTAATATTATTTATATACATATATACAAAGAGCGAACTTACTTCTACAAATATCTGAATTATTAATGAGCTTCAACGAGTACTACATTCGGTTTTAAACGCTAATTGTAGATTGACATTGACATAAATGAGGTGAATAGCATGTAAAAACGACTTTATTCGGTTTCGTTAAAGGCTAATTGAAAAATTATACCATTTAGATGCGTTCTGGAACAATTTCTTGACATTATATCTTTTCATATACAAAAAAGTGTTGTTGTAGATGAGTGTATAGTAAACGCTAGAAGATTAGATAAATTCAGCGACTCATATCATCGGTCATCTATTGTAATATTCACGTAAAATAGGAACTCTTGAATGTCATACCAATAAATAAGTTTTAGTTAGATCAGTGTTTCCAACGTGGGGCCCACGCCCCAAAATCTGTATTATTTTGAATTTGAATTTCAGTTTCTTATTATATGTTTTGAAATACTGTGTTTTGATAACAATTTCATAGTGATTTCTTCCTAAAGCCTATCATTTATGTTTTTAAGTGAACAAATCAATTTTAAAATGTTAAAAATTATGTATGGGGGGCATAAAAATTTTAAAAATGGTACAGTGGGGCATGGCACGAAAAAGGTTAGGAAGCACTGGTTTAGATTGTGTAGGCATCACAGAGATGACTGAATTATTCCGAAGTAGAAAGTATTGGAGTTAAAAGTATTGAGAAAAAAATATATTATTTACAGTACCACGGTTAATAACAACGGTTATTCTCTTATAAATAAATGAGCAAACAAGACGAGTATAATGCTGTCCATGCATAAAGGAACTTCTTTCCGAATTATAATTAAGATTTAGGGGTTAAGTTACGTTGGCTCTTCGAGAGTAGCACCGGCGAGCAGGTCCCGATACACCTTGCGCTTCGCATTCTCTTCGCACTCTATCTATGATCTCAGTTATAAGTTTTTCTTCGCGAGAGCGCTTTTCCTCAAATTCAGCCATGTTAGTTTGTTCTGAAATTTATTTAAATAAATTATGTACATTTTAGTATATGGTCAATTTACATGATGTACCTGTTCAATTTCTGAACGTCAAAGTGTCAGCGAGCGACTTCCGCCATGACACCAACTTTCTTTTAAATTCAGCCGCCAAAAGCAACGTATCAATCTTATATTTCTTTAACGCAACACCGGCTGGATAAAGCAATATATTAATAATCTTTAATTCTACGCTTCATAGTAGTAACTTAGTAAGTTCAGTAGATTACGTTTGCAATAAAAATCTTGATTTTTTTAATAGTGAATAATATATTCGATCAGGGCAGCGGTACCAAACATATAATTTACATTACAATAACTATGACGTACCATATAATGGAAATGAAAAAGCGTTGGAGCTCCCTATAGGTACCTATATTTTAGTGTCGTGAAATTCATGAGGCTATATTGGCAACTTTTAACGTTTACTCCATTGTTGACTGTTAATAACTCAATATACAACATTTAATAAAGTATAACTTATACCTACGTTACTAAAATAGAAAAAGCCGATATTTTTTCACCGGTTCTTCTCAAAACTGTCATTTTGGTACTAGTGGAAGATTTTTTTTTGTCGAGAAAAACGCAACCCGACATTCCCATTTTAAATTCTTTTGAAGTTTGTTGCGTAAACAGAAAATCTTACCGCATGTATTTCTTCGGCGATGCGGTTTCTTCTCAACGGTGCGAGGCGGTGCTCTCATTACTGTCGTCGTCAAAGGGTTCGGAACACTCGATTTGGGTATTTCCAATTCTACGTCCGGTTCTTCCTTCACGTTCGGTACAGGATTAATAGGAGTTTCGGCGTGTGCTTCGTTTTGTAGAGCTTCAGCTTGCTCGTTGGTAAGCACTGGATTGGAATCCGCTAACAGTTCGCTGTGTCTGCTCGCTATATGACCGATGTAACCTATCAAATTAACCCGATTTGAATTGAATCACAAGGGACGACAACTTATTTTTGTTTAATCGACCATTAAGAGCTGCTTCTTTGAAACTATCCATAAAAGTAATTGAACACGCTGTATATGCATGATGCATGTTAATCATAATAAATACACAATCGAACCCGTTTGGATCATCTATGGTTTTATCATAAGACATCTAAGATACTAGTAATAAATATCAAAATTAAAGAACGCCTCCTACAAGGTAAGGTAAGATTTGTAGTCGTCGTGGTCTAAAGGATAAGACCTCCGGTGCATTCGTATCGAGCGATGCATTGGTGTTCAAATCCCGCAGGCGGGTACCAATTTTTCTAATGAAATACGTACATAACAAATGTTCATGCTTGACTTCCACGGTGAAGGAATAACATCTTGTAATAAAAATCAAAGCCGCAAAATTATAATTTGCGTAATTACTGGTGGTAGGACCTTGTAGGTCCGTACGGGTAGGTACCACCACCCTGCCTATTTCTGCCGTGAAGCAGTAAGCGTTTCGGTTTGAAGGGTGGGGCAGCCGTTGTAACTATACTGAGACCTTAGAACTTATATCTCAAGGTGTGTGGCGCATTTACGTTGTAGATGTCTATGGGCTCCAGTAACCACTTAACACCAGGTGGGCTTTGAGCTCGTCCACCCATGTGGAATCAATCCCGCAAAAGTAAAAACTTTGTTTATTTAAGCATATTGTTTGCCCGCAGAGGTAGCTACAGTCACTCTACACGTATGTATCTACATAGTTCGTAGTCACTTATGAAGGGTGGGTATCTATAGAATATCCATAATTGAAACTTCGAATTCTTGCTTCTAGGTGAGTGGGCGCATTCACATGATGATATATCTAAGGGCTTTGTTAACCAAGCTAAAATACGAAGAACTTCTGTTCTGAGATTTGAACAAGGCTTGATTAAATTACTTTTCATAAACTGCATTTACAGGTATTTAGACCTTTAAGGTACGTACATAGATAAAAAAAATTACCTTTTCTACTTTTGAAAAAGACAAGACACTGTTCACACTGGAATAAAGGGGCCGGATTCAGGGTTTGAATGACATGCAACTTGTATTTATGCCTGTACCAGTGAGTGCGGCTCGCTAGAACTTCTCCGCACAGCTTGCAAATCACACTACCGTCATTATTTAACAAATATTCTATAACACCGGGCTTAGTCTTCATTGCGTCTTTATTTTCTTCTGGCACCTCGTCTTGTTCTGTTCTAGAATTTTCAATTTCATTCGTATCAGATGCAAAATGTACAAGGGCGTTTTGTTTTTCGTTTTCAATGATCTCCGATTTACACTCAAACTGGTCACAATGCTCGACGTTCGAACTGTCGGATAACACCTCGAGTGTTATTATTGGGCTGTTGTCTATACCATCCTCGTAGACGTAATGGAACTCTGAAAAAAACATGTAGGCAATATTAGATTTCCGATAATATAAATAAAAGATATTCAATCGTCCATTGAGTGGAAAAAGAAAATAACTGAAAAGGGAACCGGTAGCCGCCAATTACCAGATGCGGAGTGAGCTGGTCTGCTTATCGTACTAGAAAATAAACATGAATTGGGCAATATTTTATAGTTAAACCTCTCGCATCCTTCAGTGACTTAGGTTAGGTTTATCTGAAACACTGATACTTCCGAATTTTCCTGTGCATTTTAAAAACTATATGTTTTATACAAACCTTTTCCGGACACAATTCAAACAGCAGTTACAAACGATTTAGGTACTATTCGTTGACATTTGAATGTTGTGCTAACTACCACCTTATGGATCCGGTATCAAACAGTAAAAGTAATTATAACTATATCCAAGACACGCGTATACCGAAGAAAATACTATTTTTCCTCATAATTATAAACACAAATGCGTAGAAAACGATCGAGATCTGCTCAAGTTATGCAAGTTGCAAGTTATGCAAGTTATACATGTATCTACCGATTGGTTTTTATTTATATAAATCATAAGGTCCTAATTCATTGCTTACGGTAAATGGTCAGCATCTGTTAATTACGTATACTTTATGAACTGAGCGTGGATCGTCAGAGACACTGCATAACGGAACATGAAATTGCCTTTCATCAGCTATAGCTAACGACAATGACAATGCATTTACATTGTAAACCTCAAATTTACAACAGTTAAACACTCAAGTCTACCACAAATCGAATCGATTATGAAATTACAAAAGCTAAATATATGTTTAAACTACCTATGTACATGCTTGAATTTATGGTAATTCTTAACTGCACCCCAGATATTTTCATTGTACAATCACTAAACCTAACTCGGTCCTATCTAAGCCAATATCGGTGTATAGGGAATATCTACTGCTTATGTTGAAATTGGTGAAGATGACATCCATTGAAAGAAATACAAGAACACAGCAAGAAAACGATCTAACTGTAAATACTTAATTCTAGTTTAGTACTGGTAAATAAAATAGCTACACGTTAAATATAGGTACATAGATTTATAATTAAACAAGAACCCCTTTTTTTTTAAATCGTTAATAAATTGAACACGCAGGGCAAAATAAACGAACAGCGAAAAAATGTATTATTTGTTTATTTAGTGTACATATTTTCACAATTAATCTATAAGTTGGTAAAGATTCCTCATTTTAAAAATACACTTACATATAATTTGCATTATAAAATATAAAATATGTATATGTTTTTTTGTATCGCTTTCATCAATTCATTGTTAAAGCTATGATATTTTATCGCAACTTTTATGTTACATACTTAACGGCTATTACTAGTAATCAGTTAAACTGCAGTAGTGATTTTGTTAATTGCCATTTTTTTTAAATAAACTATCGAATATCTAACGGTTTTATACGCTATGATTTTAAAATTCATAATAGTTAGGGTATTTATACAAACACAATATTATATGGCCGACATTCATCGCATTGTAGACGGAGAAAGTTAATAAAAATTACAAGGATAAGACATAGGTACAAAATATATTTTTTTAAGCGTGAATTAATTTTTGTCAACAATTAATATTTGTAAGAAAAACATTGCTTCTACAATATTTGTATGTACAGAAATTTCAGTTTTGTAAAAATATATTTGTGCGAAATGAATAATACTAAGTTCTATAATTACATATATTTCAAAGATAAGAAAAACTTGTTTTATTTAAATATCTAGAAAAATGTTCAACAGTAAATCTTTTACATTGTTTTATAAGATTAAATGGTAAATATAAAATTAGATAAGAAAAAACAGAACATCCGTATAAATTGCACGTTGAGTAAAAATTAATAAACTATTATTGTTTTTAATTAATACATATTTTGAGTGGTGACTGTGAACAACTGCCATTAATTTTACCAAGAATGACGTTTGACGTTTCCCAAAACGTCACGTGTCACTTCATGGAAAAAAAATACGTCAAGTCTGGACAATCGCGCACGAAACTCGCCTTCGGGAAAGTCTTAAAATATAGGCACTTACATTAAGATGCAGTTAACATAGACAAACATAATTGCAACTAATTTTAAAACATATATTTCCATCTTAAAATATACGTGTGTAATGTGGAATATATAATTTCAGGCTTTAATAACTATCAGTTAATTTGTGCGATTAATAAATCTATAATAGGCACGAAAAAAAAGACATAAAAAGTTCACCAAACCCTAAATTTTAGTGCGCAGTGTACATAATACTTGTCACTTATCGATTAAACGAACTTAAATTAGAAATAAATTTGCATTTTTACGCTGCCTTGCAGCACGTGAAGAAGTGAAAAGTAAGATTTAAAAATAACTCAACAATGAAACATTCGCCAACTTAGTTAGCACTAATATCACAAAATAAAATACTACAAAAAAAGATAAAGGACAGCTTCAACATAATAATAATGGTTTACAGAAATAAAAAAAAAAACATAATTATTGAAAAAAAGAGAAATAGAAAAAAATCAAAATATATATGTAACACAAATAGTTAACTGTGGCTGAACAACATTTCAGCTTTTAACAATTAAGAAGAAGAAAAAACCAAACACCTTGAAAACTTCAGCAATCCTGTTTTGTGCGGTTGACTGGCGCTGTCGTACAAACTTAATTACAAATCACACAGCAAATTGTTAATACCTTGTTGGCGAGTTTACAGATTAAAAAAAAACTGTCATTGAAACACAGAACAAATTTGAAAAAAAAAATTTAGGCTACTACGTTTATGGCCGCGTGAATTTTTCCATCGACCACACCGATGTCAAACAGTTTGCTTAGTGCGAGTTTTTAACGTTCTCGATAGCGTAAAAGTTAACCTAGTTTTGTCTTCAGTTGGAACAGCGCCCCTAACGGCAAACGTAGGCAAACGATCCCATTCCATACAAATATGAGCTAACTTTTACGCTATCGGAAACGTTAAAAAACTCGCACTAAGCACACAGATAGGACATACATGTGTGTACGATTATTAGTATTACTAAGGCAGTGAACAGACGTGTTCCGTAAGGTCAGTCGAATCCGCGCATCAGCTGATTTGAATTGTTTACATTGCGCGCGATGTAAAAAACACTAGTAACATAATAATATAATTTCCAAAAATAAAACGTACTTCTTCCGTTTCCGAGAACTTTTCAAATAGGATGTATTTATCACCTTTTAGTATAATTTCTCAGATAACTTCACGGCGTGGGAGGAGCGACGGTAGTCCTCACTAGTTTTGTGTAACCTATATTGAAAATTTTTAACATCAATGAAGCACGCTTATGCCTTTAGAAACAAAAAGACAGAAGACAATGATACAATTTATGTATCTGATTTATGTATCAGCTACTTATACGATAATCAGTGTACTCGTAAAACGTTACCTAAGTGATAGATTGTTGAAATTAAATTGCAATCAAAAACTTATCAACTGCGGACAAATCTCGTGATTATATATACCGTGTCGTGTACGGTCCGGTCCGGTCGTTACGCCCCTCTTTTACTGTGAATTCCTTCAGGGCATGTCCCTATTAAGTGACAGGAATAACAAATAGATACAACCATGTATAACTACGGACATTAGAACAAATTATGAAATGATAAAAGGAAAAAAAGCTTTACGAGTAGGGAACTAAATGACTTAAAAGGATTAAAAGTACAATTTGAGGAGAAACGAAGGGACCAATGTCGGTGTAAAATGATTTGTGTTTCAATAACATTTTCGACTTGAAAAATAATAATCTAAGAAAAATACTAAAATATATACAAAGAATGTGTCTTCCTAAAGTAAAACTCTGGTGTAACAACATAATGTGCGCTAAACAAAATACAAATGTACGGTTCTTAAGCCAATCTTTAAGTAGACTTTATACTTAATACCTATAAATTTTAGTATCTTTTTAATATTACCTAACTTATTAAATTGCTCTTATATACTCTCGACAAATATATTTAAAAAAAAAAACTTAAGTTTAATAATGTAATTATTAATCATAAAATATAAGAAAGTGAACTTAAAATTTAGGCAGCTGTGGACATTTGCTTTTCAAAAGTATATCATAATAAATGAATATTTTATTGTACATAAACATCTGCAAATTAACATAATATTGACACTAAATTTGACATTACATGTTTTTTTTTAAAATTAATAACGCAAAGTATATTCTTGTTAAATATAATTTGTTCATAATACAAAGCTTAGGATTCTGTGCTTGATTTCAGAGTTGTAATTCCACACAGGTTGTTGCCATCATCCGGTCTATTAGTTCAGAGTTAATGGTTAATGCTGTTATTCCATTAGAATTCATATTACGAACACATTTCTCTAGGGGGCAGCGTGGCTGCTGTGCACGAGTTTTGTTTAAAATAGCATGCTCAATAAAAATAGTCAAATCTTTTGTTTTTTTTTTAATTGGCACGTTGTGAGCAACTTAGAGCATTTTCGCACATTTGAATACAAATCGTTTATCGATTTAGTTTCATAAACTATATTTTTAATTGTTTCGTCAACTTTTCCTTATTTCTGACAGTTCAATGAGAATATTAAGATAAATTTCTCGTTTCATAAATATCTCCACAGCTACACTAGTCTTATACTAGTCAAGTATATTAGGCGATAAAAATTAGTATATTATTTCCCTTATCAATGGAAGAACTGCTGATTTCGTTTTCAGGCCTAGACTAACTAGTACCTCTAGTAACTAACTTAACTATGAACTAATTTAGTACATATTTAAAATACAGAAACTTTAGTAGGAAGTATTATATTTTAGAGAAGGGCTGTCTGTGCTATGGCACATTTATACGAAGATATCTCTGATATAAAATATACTTCTGTTGTCTTATAAAAATCTTACGTACATAACGTACTGAACAGTATACAAACTAATATTTATACATATATGTATATATAAATATATATCTATTAAATGTAATAAAACTATCTCAAGTCTTTAATAAGAATAGAAATATAAACAATCTTGTAACATAGACGCGCGTCTCCCATAATACCGGCACACTAGTCAATTTATATTGCTTTCATCGTATAATATTTTATAATAATACCTATTCACTTTCTAAAAATCATACAATTTAATTACTTAACGGTGTTACTTTTTTTGCTATTTTATAGACTTTATTTTTATATTCAATTAAATGTGACGTCTTGCGATTCTTGAAGAAGTTAGATAAAGTACTTTTTAAAACAGTCTTTGGTCGGTTTTCGCGGTACGTTGAATAACTACAAAATATGGGCACTTTTCTCTAACACTTAATCGATAACATATAAAATCTTTCTAAAATTCATATATTTATCAATAACGGATTTACTGGAAGGCACAATTCAGACTTGTACAGCACCCGTCTAACGCTATTTTCAGTACAACGTTTAAATTTAAAAAGCAGCAACTGGCCTCGTCTATAATATTATTGTCTAATATTTGCACAACCATACTTCAAATAAGTTAACGATATGAGCTTGTAACGACGAACTTCCGATATAAATGCACAACAGTATCAAATGGAAATATAATATTTATAAAATGTTTTAACGAAACATTAACATGAAAATTTATATCCAAAAATATAACAAACAATACTATTGTAATAATTGAACCGCATTGTTGATCGTATTCCTATATACTTTAAATAAAAAGTCACGATCAAACGTCGCTAAGGCACTCTAGATTGTGCTAAGAGAATAATCCTTACACACGATATGGAATCAAACATAACAATCGTAGGTCGAAGCACAGTTCAAGCCTGAGCGGGGTCTGGCGAGGAGTGAGTGGGCGTCGCCGCGTGCGGTGACCCTGAGCCCATCGCCTCCAGCTTGATGCCGGGAGGGAGCTGGCCCTCCATACCGGGGAGCATAAAAAACGCATTCGGTGGATACACACAGTCCTTAGGGACGTAGCAGTCGTGCGTTGTCTTCATGTGGTTCTTCATTTTGTCAGGCCTCGAGAACTCCTTGCCGCATACCGGACAGGGAAACACTTTCCTCTGCTGCCCCTCGTGATACAAGAAGGCGTGCCTTTGGAATGAATATTTGTTTTTGAACGTTTTCTGTATGTTGTCCTTAGCGCACTCGGTACACTGGTAGACTCCCTCGTTTATAGACGCGTATCTGAATAAATTGAGGCCTCTTACGGACATTTCCGTGAGTTGCTCCGCGGGATCGTTCGATGCGGAATTGGCTCGTCTTCTGATCCGCCTCCTGACCGAAGGCCTTTGCATTTGGTTTGCTCCAGTTTGTAAGGTGTTGTTATTAATGGAATCGTTCTGGTATTCGTTTGAAGTCGAGGCCTGAGTCGCTGGATTAACTCGTATTTTTCCATGAGCATCACGTGAGGGAGATTGCGCGTACTTTGTGTCTTTATTGTCAGAGTCAGGTGAGCCACGCCCTGTAAAAAAAACAGTGGTCGATTATTTTTTATCTCTTGACTCATAGATTCGATAGTAGACGGAAACTATATAGAATTTCAACGTTTGCTAATTTATCTACTGGAAGTGAACATGCCACACTCCCGTATTTGCTTTCTACATTAAAATTATCAAATAATTATAAATAAGCAGCAGCTTTATTTAAGATACATCACTATTTAGCACGTACGTATATTTGTTTGTATGTTCCGGAATCTTTGAACGTGATTTTCACCGACTTCAAGATGTCTGATTATCTTGAAAATCTGTACACGAATCAAGGACCGATGACAATACAATAATTTTATGACTACGCTCTAATATCCTGACTAGTATCAACGGAATAAAGAGAAATGAAATTATTCGTTAATTAGCTTTACTACTTGATTTAAAAAAAAATACATTTGTTATTTTGTAGTTTTCATGAATCCAAGATATTATGAGATTATTATGACATTATCACGTCACGCTCTTTATATACTCTATATATGCATGTATATTCTCTTTGAATCGTGAATCAGTCTGTAGCCTAAAACGCTTAATAGTCTTTCGTATTGTGTCGTGTCATTAGTTATCCTCACTTATGTTTTTTTTTTTAATTAATGTATGACTCACTGCTATCTTCCCTATCCCACCTTTCAATTCGAAGCTGTCTGGTTTATATTTGACTTTTTTTTTATATTATCATATAGTATTGATATAATAATATTTTATTTGTTTGTTTTTATAGACTCTAATTACATTACTCTCTATAATGAGACACACCATGATCTGTAACGTTTTTAGTACGTAAGTATTAAAAAAAAAAATATTATGTGTTCATATTCACGATTAATATAGACATAAATAATGTATATTATAAATAATGTGCAAAGTCCGTTAGTTATTGATTCTAAAAGTAGCAAGAATAATTATTTGTTTTATATAATTTTATTCTCACTAATAAGCAAATATGTGAATGCTGTGAAGGAATTATTTTTACCGATCCGGTGGAATAGCCGTTGTTGCAAAAAAATGAAATGGAAGAGATCTTGTCTAATGTCTCAAGATGACGGCGGCATTAACATTGAGTTGTCCATGAGATCCACCTACCTACTTAACATCAGGTTGTTTACGGGTTCTTCAGTCCATTTATGTCTTATAAAACTTTAAGCGATTTGTTTGATTAAATATTTAAAGTAGTCAACAGAAAGCAGTAGTACCTTACCTTAGTAAAAAAAATCTTATAATTAACTAAGTCATGCAATGATCAAAGTAGGAAAATATAACCATTTTTACAATGGTGTTAAATTCTACAAAAATATTATAACATAAAATAATATCTATATGGCATTCTATGGCCTGAAAACAAGGGAACAAAAGTAAAGAAAATATGAAATAAAAAAACAAACAGAAAATATATTAAACTTTATTTGTTCAAATCGAATGACGAAATAAGTATTACACCATTTTTTATGACAAAATAAAAATGAATGACAGAAATTAAAATGATATGGATAAAACCTTCGATAGCACGCAACTTTTTAGTGGAGAAGTAAATAAAATATATATTTGTTTTGTAAATCAGAACAATTCACAATTTTAATATTGCACACCCAAGACGGATTCAAATTTTGTTGCATTGCTACCCAGATATTATCCAAGGAAACAACCTAAAATAAAAGAATATCTAACTAGGAAAAAAAAGAAATAATATCAATTTTCGAGCATACGTACATACTACAGATTATTATACTATTTTTAATAGGTATAATAAAAAAAATCAGTCCTATAAATAAAATCGTTTTACCAATAAAACAGAAATAAATCGAAGCAACCGCGAATTTTTCTTTTCGTAAACTCTTCTGTGGTAGAGACACACTGCTTAAACTATAACTAAAATTAATTTTTAAATTAAAAATAAATTAAAAAATTATAACAAAAAAATAATTAAAAGATTTCACTATTACATAATAGGACTCAAGTGTTTGTATTTGGAACTGTTTCGGCAAGTTCAGTAAGTAGGTACATAAGTATAAAAATAACGCTTCTGTTAACTTCGCTCTTAAAGTCACATGAGGTGGGTGAGAAGATTACCAGCAATAGTTGAAAACGGGCACAGCTAATATGAGCCGATTATTTAATACGCCCACTTTGATATACGAATCGCGTTTGGAATTCAAAATAAAAAAGTACCCACAAAATATCTAACTAATCAATTTAAAAGGAACCAGTTATTAGCCTCGTCGTTAATTTGCGAAACACGATGAAGAAAAAAAAAAATCGTAAGTAACACTTTGTACTGAATCAAAATACTTAATTGCAGAGCGTCAGTTTGAGCAACATAGAAAGCGTTTTAACATAATCTAGCTCTAACCACACCATCTAAAACGTGAGAGTAGTGTAGGATAACATACCTGTTCAGTCCTCTCGTTGTGACTATAAATGTTCCTAGTTCACTCAGTTGTTGACAACACTATTTATACACCTACAATATTATAAATAACTTAAAATTTAATCTATTCTTTACTTACTTTACCCGTGTTGTTACTTTGCTACTAATATATAAATATGAAACATAAGTGAAATCCTTCGTCATCGTTGCAACTAAATCACTAAGCTGCCATCGAGCAGAACTCCGTTATCTTGCTAATTAAAACGAAGTGGCAAGACTTCTATCGGTGTCTACCAACGGTAGACTTATTTCCCAATTAAAATAAAATTATTACATAGTATAACAAATAATAAAATGGTCATTTAGAGTAAGAACTAAATAAAAAGATCAACAGAGAGGACAGATCACAAATAAATAGTAATAATAATAATAATAATAAAGACTTTGTCATTACAATGAAATAAAAAAAAGGGTTTACAAAACAAACAAATCGAAACAAAACAAGAATAACGTTAATTGAAAATTTAGAATAATTTTTGATGTAACTTTTATTATTTCTCTTTAAATTTTCTAAAAATAGTAATTAACACCTTACTTGTATATACGATGGTATTTCTTTTACAAACAAATAATTCTATTTTTGTGTACCATTTACTAAAACAATCTAAACGTTACGTTTTTGCACTGCTATAACGGCTATGTGCATTTAACGGAAAAAAACAATAGTTATCCGCTTAAAATATAAGCCTGTTGTTAATAAGCGCGGTGTCACAATTCTCAGCTAATTCCATGTTTTGTCTCTTCGATCGCGTTTGAAGAACACGCATTAACACAACTAGGTTTAACACCACGATTATTAAAAGAGGGTAGTCGTGTATTTTTGGCTTCAAATTCTATAATATTACATTGTGAGTCAATTTCAAATGTATCACCAAGTAGCTACACAGTGTACGTTTGCAGCTATTAAAACCGACTAAAATTCTTGAATTAAACACAAACTGTTTGTACATTTTTAACCGCATGTAAACTAGAAGGTAGTTCGGTTTTAAATAAATTGAGAATAACGTGCTACTAAATACAATTTTAATAATATTCAATGAAAATCGTGTCATTGAAACCGATCTAAAGTCTATATACTGTATCTATTGATATTTAAAACATAACGTTATGTAGTAACAACTTCATAGAATAAATAGATCCATTGAAAACTTCATTAAAACTGTTAATTCTAAAATAATCTTCAATTTCAATCGCTTTAACTCTGTGTAAGTGATTTACTAAAAGCTATTTATTTAATATATTATTTTTCATATATGTATCTGATAGAGATAGGTTTGTGTGATCGCCAAAATTTTAATCCATACGGTATTGGCATAATTAAAGACATGTTTAAAACAACAATTTCAACAAATAATATTTTATCTATGATTAAATATATATATTTATATATATTATACTCTTTATATTTTAGGGACATTCCATTTTATGTCGCATCAAATGTGACATTTCTTAAGTATAATTTAGCACCAATTAATGATATAACGTTAAAAAATAAAATAAAAAGTTTCTTTTCTTTATATTGAGAAGACAAATATAACTTCGTAACTTAAAAATATTATAATTTGTTTTTTCATAATATTAAGTACACAAAAGAGTAGGGGAACCACCTGAAGCCGAAATAATATACATCCTTAGTATAAATAGAAAAGAAAATTAATTTGCATTTTTATTCTTAACGTCTCCGTGAACTAAGAGATAAGAAGCCTGGTATACTCACAAGTAGCAATGCAACTATGCCGGTATTCCAACTATTTCAAGGAAATACTACACATTATTTACAGTATTAGCACGTATTCACGAACAACGCTCCGAATGAAGGTTTGACAACGTGTGTCAAAAAATAAAAACTGAGTATTTTATAAATTTGCGTATTTTTTTATCACTCTCATAGCTATTTCTGCTACGAGGCAGATTATAATATCTAATTTGGGTGGCGACATTCATTTTGTGATGTATATGGAGTCAGATAACCACTTAAAACAAGGGTCGTGAGTTCATTCATTCATTCTTTCTATGCAATACATGAAAATCCAGCAAAATAAATTTTCTTTTATTTTTGATTGTAATTTCCTTAACCCGTAATGTACAGCGAACTTAGAGACTAGCGCTCGAAACAGACTATTGACTCCGCGCTACCCTTAATTGATTATCGTAATACATTACACATTATTTTCACTACGAATTTTTTTATTTAAATAATCGATCAATTTTTTTATCCAAATTTGATGATATATGTGGAATGCAAAATATAGGTAATACATAACTTTACTAAGGCGTTTTTCGTGTTACTCTCCTTGGGTGGTCCCCGTACACTCAGTATACAGAAATTGAACATAGGTTAAATTAAGTTACAATTTAAATATTAGTATCTTCCCCTCTTCAATAAAACTTAATAATCGAAACAAAATAATGAAACGGGTTTAAGCTTAGGCACTGGCTAAATTGACTATAATAATTTAAGTGATTTTTTTTTTGAAACGCAGTAGCCTCATCTTATTAAGTATAAATTTGTCCCTTTTAAGTACCTATTTATGTTCAAGATAAATTCATTATAAAGATTATGAAAGGTTGGTACAATAAATTCGTTTTCATGAATTTTCAACAGTCTTTGTATTGATTTTTAAAGACTTTCTTCGCCCGAGATAAATTTTGATTTCGCCGACGTTACCAAGTATTTGAATTTCTTAACATAACTTCCAACTAAATGGGAAACATGAGATGATGTTTCTTAAATACATATACATATGTATATAATTATATAATTTACTTTTTTAAATTTCAACTACATGGATCTAAAAAGGGTACCTATTATATATTCCTAAGGAAGCTTCAAGTTAATATTGTAAACGTTGAATAATGAAAATAAATAAGTACATAATATATTATTTGAAATATCTTAATAGTCTAGTAGTCGAGAACTATAATTTATCATTTACAAGTAAAAGGCACACTAATAGGCAAGCGTTCCCTGGACCTACATTTTATCATAGGTATTGGAGTTTTGGTACTAGGGTCAACGAATTAACGTGTCATCGAAGATGAATCGTACTAAAACTTTACTTAACACATTTCTGTTGAATGTCCAACAATTTTAAACTTTCTCTTTAATACGAACCAAACTCGTGGCCACCTTTATGGAAGACTACTTTTGCTTCTAATTTTAATTTAAACAATTTATAAGTACCACTCCTTATATTTTAAATATTTAAGGCATTTTCATTTCTACTAAAATAGAACTTACAAATCATCTCATGATTCCATTACTTTAGAGTTCATTCAAAGCACCTTGCTAAGATCACTTCAACAACAACTCCCATGTTGTATGGATTAAAAATATACTTTTTAAATATAATATTGTATGTAATAAATATCTAATAGCATCTGATTTCTACTAAAATTAAAAGGATATTTTTTTTAGTTATCTCAAACAGACTGTAATGCTATCGATCAAAACGTAGGCCTTCTGCATTTTCAAACCGCGTATACCGCCACTCATCTTAATGGAATCTGATAGCATTATGCCACTTTGCTCCAAATCCCTATGTTATGGTATTGTCTTTGACAAATATATTTCATCACTAAATAACGATGGAGGTAAAGATATTGCACCCTAACCTGTATGATGATATATATATTTATATGATTGTATTTTAAGTAATATTTTATATAAATAGTTTTAAATAGAATTTGAACAATCGAAGTCAACAAGTTTGGGGCTCTGCTTCTTGTCGAGAAACTAAGTGCACAGAAACTATGCTATAGCTGTTGATGCTAGTTGAACGATCTATTATCTATTTTCTTTTACATATCATATAAATTTATTTGTGTAGATAATTTTATTTAAATATACGTATTCGAGCTGCATAACATTTAAATCAAATATTTCAACATTGATAAACTATTTAAAATTAATCTTAACAAAATCTACATAAATAAAATCATAGCCTGCGTTGAGTTTCACTTCGAACAAGTCAAATTATTTATAACTAAAATCACTAACAAGGCAAGTTAAATGAAAATGCATATTGACAACTAAAACGTTCACAATGGCATTAATTTTAGTCTTTTTTGTAAGGTCTAGTCTAGCCTCTTTGAACGAATACTTTTTTTTTTAAATCGAGACGAATAACCTACTTCGAAATACGGATTCGATAGATTTTAGAGACCATGCCATTGATGTGTTATATCCAAAATTATAACTACTAAACTTAAACTAATTCAGTTCAATTAGAATTTCGTATTATATTCAGCACACACACTGTGATCAATTACGTTTCTTTCGAACATACGATCACAAGAAGTAGTTAAATTTGTACCCTGAAATTTTGTAAGTATAAAATTAAGTAACAAGTAAGTGCAAAATAACAAGTAAATCATAGAAAATTCTTTGAATCTCTTTAAGACAGCACTCTGAGAAACAAACGGAACAACATAAATAATAAATAGATAAATATTAACAACAAACGACAATCGTCGCTAAAAATATCAACAAACTTATTGATATACTCAGGAAATCTAGAGCTCGACCCTTATTTAATCGCAAACTACGAAATAAGAACTATTAAGAATTTATGTTAGGAAATAGGATGAATAAAACCCTACTCAAACTAGTCAGATCTTATTACTCCTATGACATATAATAATTACGATAAGCCCCCTCCGTTTATGATTTAAGACTCCTGTTTCGCCATTTGCTCGTTTGCGTTGGGCTGATTTTTATGTATGATCTTCAAGTGCGCAATCATGTTGTCCTTACGCGTGAATTCTTTGAAACAAATAGGGCACGGGAACACCTTAACATCTTTCTTATGTGAAGTAACATAGTGTCGGCAAAAGTTGCTAATGTGTGTATAAACCCTTGCACATATTTTGCATCGGAAAACGTTTTCCCCCTCCTTGATACAATAGTCCCTGACGGACTCGTTCGTTTCTTCGTGGTAATTGCCGATACTACCCATATTGTTTTTCCTTATTGGCGAAGGAAAAATGCGATGTTCCCAATTTGTTTGCGACAAATCAGACGTATCATTGTTTGAGAGGCTCAAATTGTTTTGTTCTAATTCAGCCGCAAACAATTGTGTGGCAAGAGCTGGCATCAAGACAGTTTCAGGAGGAAATTTGTCAAATGTGTTTAATGCGGGGTTCAAATTGGATAAGCCCGATAGCTGATTAAATAAGTTTCTCGCTCTAATTTTGGACATTTGGGGTTGTAGTTTTTTATTATTCTTTGGTTTTAAGTTACGGCTTAGTCGACATTTTTCATCGGAATCTTTAATGGGACCATCCTGAGAATTGGAATTTTCGCGGCTTCTCTCGGGATTATATTTGTATTCGATCGGTTCATTGTAACCATCGTTCGCGTCATTATTGGGCTCTTGCTTTATTGATCCATTCTCAATAGATAACATTGGTCCATTTGTGGGATCGTTTTGTTGTATTTCTTCTTTCGATGTTTTTTCAGGATCTGAAATATCACAATTTCAGCTCACAGAATGCTTTCGTTTGGAGTTAAATTTAAACATTTTTTATGTGTTTGATGGAAATATTTTAGCACTACATAACAATGGCAAATAACTCAAATTAATATTTAATTATTGATGTAGTAACTATAATATTTCCAATTGCTTTATTACGTAGGAAAGCTATTGGGAATAAGCCTTGTTTGATTTCCCTTTTTATCTTGTACGATATGCAATGATTATAATTTGAAAGTGTTAAGAAAAGAAATTATTAATCAACCCATTAACCACACCGGATTCGCCCCTGGCCATTCCTCTAATAGCTCTCCCCAAAAGCAGAAAAGCAAGCAATAGTTAAACTGACGGTTTATAGAAGAAAACAAGCGTCTGTTACTTGTAAATGTGAAAATAATTTCATAGATCATCACTTACCCCACGTGGATAAATTTTTTATTATTAAATTTATAATAGCTCGATATCACTTCACTTTTTTCACTTATTTTCCTAACCTCAAAGCTTATATCCCAGTAGCTTTTCCCTTTTATTTCAACTTCAAATAATGTAAAAATGTTAGATTACCGAAAAGAAGATTAATGTAAGTATTTACAAAAATAGAAAACAACACCGTAAAATAACAATTCGCGAATTCCAACGGTGCTTTCTGTCACAACATCATCATCATCATCATCAACATATAGATGATATAAGTTTCCACACACCTGAACTATTAAAATATTCAATAGTCGTACATTAAATCAGGTACGGACAATGAAATTAATTGGTTGATCTTTTTTCTGTACACAACCATGCGTTTCATAATCTTATTTGATCAGCAGAAAATCTAATAATTTTTACGTACCTGCAGACTCGGAGTCTTTGCCGGCCGTCGGAGTTTCGGTCGACTGAGCGTCGTCTCCTTCGTCGATTAGAAGTGCTTCACCGGTCTCCTCGCCTCCTGAAGTTCCACCATCCTCAGCACTGAACCCGTCCATAGACATCTTTACTTCTAACATTTCAGGTGAACCTCTAATCAACTGATCTCCCCCTCTGTTAGGTGGGGCGTGTGAAGCTGCTTCCGGGACAAATTCTCCGGGTGGACTGGCCGCAGTATTTAAGGCATCACTTGAACTTCCACTAAGTTTCCTGGGCCGACCACGCTTCCTTTTAGGCTGCATTAAGGCATTACCTAATAATGGCATTAGTAAATTAGGAGGTGCACCTCCTGTTGGCATTCCAGCCGCCGGTCGCTTCTGATGCATGTACGGATGTATTCTGTGCAGTTGCGGCGGAGGCGTGTGGGCGGAGGCATTTGTCTGCTGTTGCTGAATTAACGAATTAGTTAGTGCCGGAATATCACATTTCTCCTCGTTCACCTCGGTCAGACCCTTTATTCTCAAGCTCTCAGCAACTTTGAGGAAAGCCGTAAGCCTTTCTTGGTCGACGCTCACTTCTCCTCTGTACATAAAATCCAACAAACTTTTCATATCAGAGTACGGAACGTCCTTTAGTATAACAATAGGATGTTTTTCTTGATGATTGACAAACAAGGCTTGGAAATATGGGCTGCATGCCGAAAGCACCATTTTATGTGCTTTCAAGAGCTGACCATCCACGGCCAGAGTCACATCTGTGAATGTCTCGGCGTGTAATAGCTGGTCGAAAACCGACAGCATATTCGACTGGTGGTTATTCCACCTAAGGCAAAATCTTTGCGTAGCCATTTTGCTCTTTATTCCTTCTTTGGAAGATATGATTTACCAGTTCAATCTTAATATCTAATAAACCAACAAATATTCAAAGATGTAAACATAAGTATCTCTCTTTTGTTCCATGAACAACACAACAAAGCTTCAACAACAATAGATAATGTTTAGTTTTAAATAGCCATTTTCAATGTTCACGTTTGACAGTGCTTAGTGCAGTTTGTGTGACGGGCGCGGGGGACCTGGAAAGATACAAACAAGGAATTACAGTATTGACTGTAGTCGCTAACATTTTCTTAAACATGATTATATATGTATATATTTTAGTTTACGTCAGTATCAGCAAGACTAAGAGCTAATGAACAAAGAATTTTCTCTACTTTCATGTCGATCAAGAATAATTAGGTGAAGTAATGATTACAGTATTCTGAGCATTAGCAGTACTTTTTGTCACGCTATTATTCGATAAAATTCACGCGATACACACGGCTTGGAGGAATGAAAGGTATTTTTATGTAGATTATGAATCTAATTCGACCACTATTTCAAATAATGTTGCAGTGGTCGTCTGAAACTCAAAAATACACGATTTTGTGCTAAGTGTTACTAGTCTATTTTGTAATTAGCTATATATTGCTAAATTCTCTATCTAGTTTATGAAGTTCAAATGAGTAGTTCATTGATCAGCCATGAGTAAGACTTACTCGTACTATATTGCAAATTTGTCGCATTTGCAGTGCTACCAGATACCGTATTTTAAATTATAAGACTTATTCGATATTATTAACGTGTTTGTATTTATTTTGTAATCGAACCGCACATGTTGTTTGTAAATTATTGCTGCATTCTTTACTAACAAATGATTTACATCCTGTTCTATAAAAGTCACTCAATGAAAAATAATGTTTATCTATAACGCAGTTCTGATTTAACACTTTTCCATATAGTTAGTTCTCTTTATTTCTATTGCGATATACTGTTATGAACGTGTTCGCGTGGATACGTCTATATTATATTGTTGATACCATAAAAATTGTGTAGTAAATGCTTAGCGTCATTTCTAGTGTCAACTCTATATGTCGTTAATTTGGCTGTCAATTTGAATGACCAAAAACCCAAGACCGATAAATATCATTGTTGAGAATTAATACTTTTTTATTAAATATTATCTGTTTAATATATTGTAGCTAGTATTGTGCGTAGCATATAGTTCTTGGAATTTTATTCAGAAAATTATATACATTGTGTTCCGAGTTCAATCTGCCAACCTTTGATATGTGGCATTGAAGGCACGTCGTCACGTGCTATAAAATCCTAAAATTCTATTTAACCACTTGAAGGAGTTCTTCTCAATTTTGATATAGTTTTTCCTCGAGGCTCAAACCATTTTCTTGTGAAAATTTAAATAAATTATTTAAAAGATATATTCATATTTTTTAATCTGTGCCGAGAGACTGTGCAAGAAGTTCAGTTTCTATGGTTTTGTTCTTCAAATTTGTATTACTAATGTTTCTAATTTATTAAATAATCCACTTTAAATACATAAATAAATCCGATAAAATAAGAAACTAATTTATTGAAATGGTTTAGTTGTAAATTGTTTCGAAATTAATCGCCAAAAACTTTTCAAAATGCTGTAAATAAATCTCGTCGAATCTAAAACTGAAACATCTAAAGAAAGAATACGTTTTAAATAGTGGAAATGTAAATACCTGCTAGTTTTTAATATGTGTGTTGTTTAAGTCAATTATATATTGCCATAATTTAAAAAGATTTATAATAAAATTTAAATTAGAATGAATAAAAAAAATCTATCGGTTCGCTTTTAATATAGAATGTTTACAACTTCAATCCCTGAAACATGAAGGTCCGAACAAAACACAGGCTTTAAAAAAAAAGATGAGATTCACATCCATAATACAAGCCAAGGTTGATAAAATCGAGGGCGCCTCTAGTAGCGGCGGGAGGGAGACTGTGCACCGTCGGACGCACTGCAGTCAGTCAGGAAAACATTCATCTAGCCACCTATTAGATATCTATATCATATACATACATACGTATATATTATATATCCTACATCATTACAGAACTAATACGGACTATCAACAGTATTAAATCACAACATACGATTTCGCTGGTTTCTCAAAACAAAGCCATGAAAAGTCTCATAACAACATCGTTTAAAAAAAATAATCGCAGCCTTGGAAATAATTCCAATTAGATTTTAAATCAGAATCTAATTGGAATCGTCTGGATATACGTTTAAGACGAAATAAAGCACGAACGGCCTGTCCACATCCACAGGTGCTGACCACAAACGTTATCGCGGTATAAACGGGCGCTCGAATTATTACTACGCACCCAGTCGAGCGCGTTACATTACGTCATCACAATGGCATTATTACCTCCGATATCCACATTAATACGACCGATACGCCGAGATAAGCGCCGTTTGAGAATAATTATAGCACTGCACAACATAAGAGAACGTACCACACGTATCTGCACCACGATCAACTCGACCCTTTTATGGGAATGAGGATCAGCCCTTCCGCCATAGTCCGAGTCCGCGTTTACGTCGCACCCCGCTCACCCGACGACTGACGGCCGAGCCCGCAACCCCGCGCCGCGAACGACTCGCTCCGCGACTCGAATATCTCTCACAAAAAATACGCCGTCATCATCGAAATGGCGGCAGCGGATATATTCAGCGCAGGGTGCACGGTAAATTATTGATTTATTGAAATGTATTGATTCCTGTTTCCCTTTCACAGGAAAAATCATCCCTACTCGCTGTCTACATTTGCTTCTTTGTGTATAGTAATACTGTGTTGTACACTGCATTTGTTATGTGTTAATATTGTTTATTATATTTTATTAAACCTAGGTATATTATATTAGAATCAGATACAAATCCGATAAGAACGTATATACAAGAACTTTACAGTTTCTTACAAAAAATCACTTATGCTCTCAATTTTTTATTTCCGTTCAGATTTGTTTGGAAACAAAATTGCAAGACATGACCATTACATGTAGATCTAGAGTTATCTAATGTATATTTATTTACTCATCTAACGATACAATAATTTTATTATCATCTTAAAGATAACTACTACAATTTTAATCTTAGTTAAATTTACATTATAATTTTAATGTTTTAATGGTTTTAACATCGCCTGCAATTTCTAAAACACTGCATTTTCACAGTCTTAGTAGTTCATACATACAATCCTTGGCTAACCTACCTTTGCATAGATACCTATTTGGAAGGGATGCGTTTTCCACGTGAAAAACATCAATCCATTGGCAGTGTCGCCATGTCAGCAATGTTGGCCGTCTCTGTCCCGCGCGGGCGGGGTTGGAAGGACGCCCTCTACGCGGCGTCCGCCGCCGATGATAACCGAGCGCCGCCACTTTTCGCGACGAATCCACCCGAGTCCACACAGAAAATAGTTCGCGGGGCGCACTAATATTTTTAAGTTTCAAACACACTCAAGCACTAAAGTTAGTTTTACTGATAAAAATTCTGTATTGGAGTTATGAAAACAATTAATTCCATGTGTATAATTTAAATTAAAAGTCCATTTTTAGTTCACGTGGTCGTTACAAACTGTTTCAGGAAGTTAACAAAAAATCCGCGCGCGCTCAGATCTCGGAAGTATTTTCAATAAAAATGGCCTGCCGCCTCGGCGGGAGGAGTGGCAATGGGCAATGAGGTCGGTACCCTCTCTCTGGCACCCGCGCGCGCCCCTCCCTGCCGCTACACTCCAGCACAGGGTTAGAAAGTTTCAAAAGTGAATCGTGGAAAACACGGACGCTGGCGTCCTGTCTGTAGCATGCGTTAGTACAGGCAATCAGGACAATCCCATGCTTGAGAATTAATACCCTTCCGTTATTGAATTGAAATAATAATATATTTTGCGTTAAGCTCACAAAATGGATACAAATATAATTCTTAAAGTAATGTTAGTTCAAATTAAGAATACTAGGAGACTATAAATTGAATTAAATTATTTAAATTGAATCACAAATAACTTTTTACATGTTACAAGCGGCAAGAACATTTCAATTATCAGTTCTTATCATCCGACACTCCCTCTGCAAATCAGACAGATCAGGGCCATATTTCTAATACTGACTTTAGAATTATCATTTGTCGTCAGCTTATCAACAATCTGCCATATTCTAGATGTTCTGTGAAAATTGCCAAAAAATGCCATCGAATGGATTTACATCGCCCATTAAATGTTAAAATGTTAAAATAGAAGCAAATTATATCATATACTTGTACAAAAACCATTTCGCATGAGAAAAAAATGTCGCTGACATAGAAATTAAGACAGAATGTTGGGGTTGCAGAAAATTTAATTCAATTTAAGTTGAGGCTTCAAAAAGAGGGCGCAATAGGTGCAATATACCAGGGAGTATAGGCAAGGCGCCATCGCACCTGCCTGTATCGATTGGCCGGAGCGCGAACTATAATTCAGTGGTGACCTGACCTAGGTCATCGTGGCAGTGTTAGCTGAAGTCCTTACAGTCAGCTGACCCAGTTTTCAGGCGGCGCGGTTGGAGAATAAAAGCTCGCCAGCACACTTTCCCTTTAATAACAGACGTGCCCTGGAATAAAGATGGAAATTGTCGCTAACGTGTAAAACTGTTAGAATTTTCTGACACGAATCTAGCTACTTTAACTTTTTGTAGTTAACATGGATATACCAAATAGAAGATGAATTATATGTACTAAATATTTTGATTTTGTTATTCTATAGTTAGATATAACTAAAGACGAACTATAATCTCACTATAACTTGGGTATTGTTACACTACTTTCGTGCATTTACTACGATAAATATTTAATTGAACGTGCAAAAACATAGATTAACGGTTTCCTTACGAGTGTGAGTTACTTCATAATAACCCTCTTTCTAAAGTTTGGATGTTTCGAGTGTCCAATGAATCAGCAGATTTTGCCGTAACGGCCCCCAGCGAACGGTCGACGGTAACTGTTAAAGTCGCGAATGGTAAAAGCTGTGAACAAAAAGAAATCCTTTGGCTTTCTAGCTGAGAGGAAGCGTATGCGTACACCGTAGACACACATTTTCTATGTACATACTATGTTCTTTGTTAATAATTAACAATTAATTTTGATCGAACTCATACTAGCACAGATATTAAGGAAACCTTAATGTATTTTGGGTACATTTTACATATTTTGGTTTCTAGCACAGAAAAATACTGCGTGCTATTGAAATGAAAACCGCAAACTATTCAAAGCTAATTATCTGGACACTTAATGCTACTAATGGCGCTTTAGAAAATAAAAACTTAGTCATTAACGAACACACTAATTAGAAATTAATACGTATTTTTATAATTGTTTCAAATAACTGAGAATTTCAACAGACACCGGGATCTGTAAAACCAAATAAAACATGAATGTTTTTTTTACATAAAAATCAAATTTCGATCAATAAATTTACCAACTAAATACAAATTAAACCATCTACTTTATATTTCGTATTCGTAACAACACTATTTAGCTGAACGGACAGAAATATCGAAATGTGTCCTAGATAGTCATTGCAACTTTTGCTTTTTTGCATCCGAATCAAAAATTGCACTGTAATCGATGACTTCCACGGGTCTTTAACCGCTAACGAAACCACACGAACACTCACTAATTATAGGTAAAAGTTATAGTTTTATCGATCTTGCTTTTTATACAAAAATATCAATCACAATATTGTGAAACTTTGCTGTGTCAACAGTAATACATTTAAATACATAAAATTTATAATTTTAGCATCCCGCAGGAAAGTATACAGATTAAAGCCATCATAGAACACATCGATAGTTTAGGGGTTAACGACAAAGGGAAGATCTTCCATCGAGCGGGTTAATTGCTCGGTAGACCGACGGTCCGATTGTTATATTTTTTTTAGTGCAAACAACGTCTGCCGGCTCCACTAATAGAATTGTAGATTGTAACTGGACATTTTGACTTTCATTCCGTATTTTCAGTAAGTAATTCGATAGCCAATATTAATTTCGTTATGAAACAAATTAAAGTAAGCTTGAACTATCTATTTTACTGTAATTAATAAATTACTCTTAATGCTACTGATAAAATTAGTCCACATGTCCATAAGCTAACCTATTACCTATTGATTGTCTTCAGTATCCATAAAGTACACCTGAGGTAGGACCGCTTGTGAGTCCGCGCGGGTAGGTACCACCACCCCGCCTATTTCTGCCGTGAAGCAGTAATGCGTTTCATTTTGAAGGGTGGTACAGCCGTTGTAACTATAGATCTTAGAACTTACATCTCAAGGTGGGTATGCATTTACGTAGTAGATGTCTATGGGCTCTAGTAACTACTTAACACGAAGTGGGCTGTGAACTACGTAGTATTCAATTAAACCATAACATTATTTGTATCAGGCTGAGATCATATAGCAATAGTAGATAGTTTTATTGCTATCGAAGACCAATTACGGTTCTCCAGATTAAAGACACTCTTAAAACATCAGCAAGCAAAATCATAGCCAAGTTGCTTCTTACGGCTCAGGTGTTGTTGGAACCTTAACCCAACCAGCGCTTTGTAGAACTTTTGTTTCATTAGACACGAAACACCTACTATTTCGTCTTAGGACTTCTGTGTGTTTTGTTCTTTTTTTGAACTTCGTTTAGGACTCCTAGCATTTTCTAAGCGTCTTCTATAGGAGTCTGATTCAGGAGAGGTGACCAAAACATCTATTTTGACCATTAAACTAAATTCAGCCCCTTCTTAAAGTCACCGCAAAGAGTACTTTACTTGAGAGCACAGCTCCTATCCCTTGAGAGAGTTTATGATGCCCCGCATATTACCCAGACCTCCTGCTTAAATCCACCTATCAATTTACGCCATCAATGGACACTATGTCATTGCAGCATGATCAAAATTGTGATAACAGCCATCGACGATGACTGACTTCATCCATCAAAAGGGATAACACCCTATTTACTTGCAGAGTCCCTCAAGATTTCGTAAGACGTACTTTGACTTAAGAGTCCTATGCCACACTAATAATGGCGCTCGCTATCAAAAGGCTCAAAGGAAAGGGCAGCGACAATCGAGCGGTAGGCAGCTGCTTCGCTGTGCCCTTGGCATGGCTAACGTCCACGAGTGATGGTAACCACTCAGCATTAGTGTGCCGTATGCTGGTATACCTACAAGGGCACTAAAAGAAAAATAAATCAGCTCATAGCCCACCTGGTGGTTAAGTGGTTAGTGGAGCCCATAGACATCTGCAACGTAAATTTGCCACCTACCTTGAGATATAAGTTCTAAGGTCTCAGTATAGTTAGGTACAACGGCTGCCCCACCCTTCAAACCGAAACGCATTACGGCAGAAATGGGTAGGGTGGTGGTGCCCACCCGCGCGGACTCACAAGAGGTCCTACCACCAACCAGTAATTACGCAAATTATAATTTTGCGGGTTTCATTTTGATTACACGATGTTATTCCTTCACCGTGGAAATCAATCGTGAATATTTGTTGAGTATGTATTTTATTAGAAAAATTGGTACCCGCCTGAGATTCGAACACCGGTGCATCGCTCAACACGAATGCACCGG